AAACTATTAAAAGCAGTCATAGATGAAAGATGGTTTACCTTCAAAGTGCAAATGAAAAGCTAGAGACATTCTTTGGGCAGAAGAAAAATGAGCTCATATGAAAGAATGAGGATGCAGAAAGGAATGAAGAGTAAATATACAATTAAATTTACTTGACTATTGATTTTATAAAACAATGATATGGCTTTGTGTGGGGTTTAAAATTAATCTAAAATTAAATAAAAAATTGGTATATATATTGGGAGAAAGATAAATAAAATAATAATTCTCTGCTGTCTTTTTCCTATGCAGAAAGTTTCCAATTAACATTAGACTTTAATAAGCTAAAGATGCAAAATTTACTTTCTAGTTTAATCACTAAGAGAATAGAAAAATAAATACTAGCAAACTAATATATGACTATACCCTAAAAAGTTTAAACTATGAGAAAAAGAAAAGAGAGAAAATGCAACATAGAATAAGAAAGACAAGGCATAAGCAAATAATAAAGTGATTTAGATAGATTTAAACACACAGTTATCAATAATTGTATTAAATATAAATGCACTAAATACTCCAACTAAAAGAGAAAGATTGTCAGACTGGGTTAAAACTCCCAATTATATTTGTTTTTTGAGATACACAAAACATAAGGTTAACTAAAAATTAAAAGTAAAAGCATAGAAAAAGATAAATTATATTAGATCAGAAAAAGTAGGGTTAAAGGCAAAAACATTATTAGTGATAGAATTTCTTAGTGATTACATGTTTGCTATACTAGGAAGAAATAACAATTCTAAATTAAATGCACCTAAAATGTGACCTAAAAGTGGAGTAAAAATGGATAAACCTGAAAGGAAATATAAGCAAATCTATTCTCACAATATGTATTTTAGCTTACCTCTCTCATTTACTAAGGAACAAACAGAAAGAATAATGAGTGGGGATATAAAAGATGTTTTTAAATATATGAACATTTACCCCCCAAAATGTGAATGTGCGTTTCTGTGTCTCTGTGTGTGTGTGTGTGTGTGTGTGTAGCACATTGCACTTAACAACTACAGAATGTATACTTCTTTTCAAGTACTCAGAAGGATTGATAAAATTTGACCACATCCTAGGCCATAGTGCAAATCTCAAAATGTCAAAGTATTTATGTCATGCAGACTATGTTCTCTGATAAAAACACAAATGATCCAGATGAATAAAATGATAACTAGAAAAGTATTCATTTGTTTGGACATTAAGAAATGTACTTCTAGAAACCCATTGGTCAAAGAAGATGTCACAAAACATAATAAAAATTATTTGGAATTAGATTATTTATAAACATAAAACACACCAGAGGTTGTGGAGTGCTGCAAAAGAACTATTTATTGAGGAACCTTTATGCTCATAAATGCACATATAAAAAAAGAAATGCTGAAAATTAATATAAAAATCCATTTTATTTATTTATTTTTTATAACCATCCATTTTAAAAGAAACAAAACCTCAAAATAAACACAAAGAAGGTAAAAGAAAGTAATAAAGATAAAACAAAATATAAAACTAAAAACAATCATACAAAGCAAAGGATCATTGAATCTAAAATGGCAGTCTTTGAAAAGAATAAAACAATTGACAAACTCCTGGTGGGATTAATCATGAAAAAAGAGAAAGGGCACAAATAATGAAAAAGGGAACATTGTTATGGATCTGAGAAACATAAAAAGCTAAAAAAGTATATATTCTAAATAACTCTATGGAATAAATTTTAAAATTTAATTGAAATAGATAAATTTTTAGAAAAAGACATTTTTTAAATGTAACACATAAGGAATTGAAAATATGAATTTTTCTGTAGCTAATAAAGAAATTTAATTTGTAATTTCCCCCAAAGGAAAACTTTAGAAACAAAAAATTTCACCAGCAAATTTTACCAAACATGTAAGAAAGAAATAATACCATTTTTAAACAAATTCTTCTACAGAGGGACAAATAATAATAATAAAAAAAACCCCAGGAAATATTTTCTAACATCTTTATGAGGCCACCATAAACTTTGTAATAAAACCTGTGAAAAAAGAAAGAAAAATTATAGGTTAACACCTCTTCTGAACATTTATACAAAGATTCTAAATAAGATATTAGCGAACCAAATCAGCAATATATGGGAAAAATAATTTGTCACCTCTGATGTGGGTTTATTCTGTGAATACAGAATTGGTTTAATATTTGAAAATCAATTATTAATAATATATTTTACCACATTAGCAGAATACACTAGAATAATATTTGATTATTACAATAGGTACAAGAAAAATATTTGATAAAATTCATGATTAAAAAACTTTAGCAAATTAGAAATAGATAGAAACTTTTTTGTAATAAAGGCAAAATATTTCTGGTAAAGATTGTTTACAAAAACTATACCTTAAATAATGCTTGTGTAGACATGTTGGCAGATTTTTTTCTTGAGCTTATGACCAAGACCAAGATGCCCATTATCATCATTTCTATTCAACATTTTGTTGGATATTCTAGCCCATGCAGCAAGAAAATGAAAAAAAATACATATTATTTGAATTGGAAAACAAGAGATAAAATTGTGTTTATTTGTAGATTATATTTTTTTGTATGTTAAAATATATGAACAAATCTAAACAGGCAAATCATTAACATTCACATGTGAGTTCCAACAATGTTGGAAAACAGTTTGCGCTTCCCAAAGATGAAGATGCACACTATGACTTAACAATTTTACTCCTAAGTATACAGTCAGCAGAAATTCACACACAAGCACATACACCAGGAAATAGTTCACAAAAGCCCATGCTGGTGACAACTCAAATGTCCATTGCCCATAGAATAAACAAATAACATTTGGTATATTAATATAGAGGTACACTACACAGCAATGAAAATTAGTGAACCACTGCTATTAATACATTCAGAAGTGGCTAAATTTCACGGAAACCAAATGTTAAGCAAATGAATCCAAACACTAAAGAATACATGTGTGATTCCTTGTATATAAGGTTCTAAGTAGGCAAAAGTAAACGATAGTGTTTAGGAATGCAAATCAGGTGATCAAAGTATAAAGAAAAGCAAACAAGTGATTTGATAGTTGAGGGGGCAGTTAGGGTACTGCAGGGATGCTAGACAAGTTACACAAGTGCTCATTTTGTAATTATTTATGACAGTATGCATTTAGGTCTTTTTCTGTGCATGTGAAGTAATTTTGCAATACAAAGGAGGTGGGTCAGGTTTGAGAGATAAACAATATTTGCCTTCTACTTCTTTCTTTTTCTCCTCCTTCCCATCTCTTCTTCCTTCTTTTTCTTGAGCATCATTTGGGTCTATACATTCTAGAACTATTTTATGTAAAAACAAAGTAAATATCTTTCCACCAATTTTTTTTTCTTTTTTACTATTTTATTCTCTAAAGAGGAGTATTATGACAGACATGTTAAGAAAAAAGAACTGACTGAAATGGTTGGTCAGCTCAGGGCTTGTCTGTAGTACCTTACACTTCCCATTAGTCTCTGCCATTGTGGGGGGCGGGAGGAAGAACGTTGTTTGGGGGGTAGGAGCTCTGAAAGCAGTGAGTAAACTCTGCCTGAGATATTTAAAATATCCTTTATTCATGGTGGTATAGATGGCCTGAATCCTTCCTGGAGTAAGGAACATTACCTACCTGCTTGTAGACATCAGCAGCGTGGTGAATGTTGTCTGGCCCCTCTGTGAGAAAGAGTTCATTGGCATTCTCCTCCTTGGTGTTCTCTCTGAGCTCAGGGAGATGTGAAGTAGGGAATTGCCTCTGTGTCAGAAACAGGGAAGAAACCAGGGAAGGCTGATGACTTGTCAGACTTCGTTGCATGTCTGACTCAGTAAAGGGCAGGGAGAAGGTTGAGTGGAATCCTCCTGGTCCTGGATTAGCCTGAGGAAGGTTCTCCAAAGCTGTAGGGAGTCCCATGAGATAAAAGTCCACTGACAAAGGAGTCTTTTGTTTCCCAGGAACCTTCCTTAGGATCCTGCCTGCTGCATTTAGTCACTGTGAGGCACACCCCGTAGGAGCTGTAGACTCAGTGTGACAGCTGAGATGGGTTTAAAATCTTAGGAGTTGGGACCCTCCGTCATTTATGCTTCCTGAAAGTCTCTTTCCTTGGGGTGGCCTCATTTTCGTGGCTGCCGTAGCAAGGAAAGAGAGGAGAGATGGGATTCTAAGGACAGTTCCCAATACCTTCCCCAGGTGAGAACTTTGCATGTTGACTGACTTCCTCCTGTGCCTTTGAAAAATCACCTTGGGGCATGGAGACAACCCAGTCACTAAAGCGGAAACCGGGTGACTTCAGCTGCTCACATCCTTGCAGCCTCCCTGAGGCTGCTCCCTGAGGTTCCGGCTTTTGGGGACACCCCAAGCCATCTCAGAAGCAAAAGCTCTGGCAGCAGGAAGAGAGGCTGTCAAAGGTAGAGTGAAGGACCTGCTCTTTCTTTGTGACCTGTACCTGCTGACAGCACGCACCATGCATGGCCAGGTAAGAGCAGCCCTAGAATACTGTCGTGGGGATTTTGACTCCACCAGGCTGTTCTGAAAGAGCAGGAGTAGGAAGTCTAGGCTCTGAATGTTGGTTCTGGTATCTTTTTTTTTTTTTTTTTTTTTAGCTCCCTGAGCTATTCTCATCGGACATGACTTATCCTCTGTTTGGCTTTCAAGTATTTCCCTATACTGGCTTCACTTTGTCTTCCCTCTTGGGGACTTTTGATGCCTGGGAGCAGAGATCATGTGTTTATCTTCTCATTTCTCCCTACAGGGCCAGTCCAGAGTCTTCCCTTTCTCCTCCTCCCAACGCCATCCCCCCTGCCTGCAGGGATTGCTCAAACCCTTTTCCAGGAAGCACCTGTGGGCTTCCTGGAAAAGGAACCCAAGCCCATTGCCTCCACTTCTGAAGTGTAGCATTGGCCATATGAACTGATCAGACAAGAGCCTGCATAGTTGTCTAATTGTTTCCCTGTGTATCTTGTCCTTTCTTTGCCAGGGAGCTCTCCCAGGAACCTGCTCTTTCTTTTGTCTCTGCCAGCTCATCCAGCACAAGGTAGGACACCTTTTACTTACAAGAAACTTCGAGAGAAAAATTAACAGGACTCCAGGGCATCAAGATCAAAACTGATGATCACCTTTGGAGGATGACTGGGAGAATTACATTGATTCTGGCAGCAAGAGAAACCTCTGGAAGAGAAGCTAGTTTTAGGAGAAGAGCTTGAGAAGCATGTGGCCCATGCAGGTGGAGAGTTCCACAGCAAGATGGGAGCCAGGCCTGCAGGTGCAGATGCCATCATCATAAGGTGGAGATTTTTACTCCAATCAACACATATTTACTAAACATAGCATCGGAACACTCTCAAAACAGTTGAGACCATGTACCAAGCAGTAAAGCTTTCCTCAGAGAGCAGCTAATCTCTGCAGGAGATAACACATGGATGAGGTCAACAAGAACCTAAGACTATTTAAGTAAAAGTCCAAGATAACAGTAGAAGTGATGTGCAGTCCAGTGCATAATTGGTTGACAAGTGAGAGGTAAAGTCAGTAAGTCCTATTTGTTCCAAAGACAGAGGCAACACTTCAGGCTAGGGAAATCCAAAGTAAAAACTTGTGCTCAATCTTCAAGGATGGGAGAGAGGAGGAAAAAATCCCAGCTGGGTGTGATTGATTGGCAAAAATGGGGAGGTGGAAATGTGCAAGTCAACTTTTGGACACTTTCAGAAATGCCCAGGAGGTTCCAGCTGTCTGCAGGATAAGGCCATACTTACCTACTTATTGGATTTTAACAAACTTTTTAAAAAAGTGTTGTGGCCTGAGGCACAGGTGCCTGGGTTAGAAGCCATCCATCTGGGCTGTAAGCCTGTTCTGCTACTTACTAATGGGGTGACCTTGAACAAGCCATTTAATCTTCCCAAATCCCTATTTACCATTTGTAAAACTAATCCCTGTCTATGTTAACGGACTTGTGTGAGGATCCAAAGAGAAAACACTTGTGAAAGTCCCCCAAACATGACAGTTAATGGATGTTGGTTATTATCATTATTTTTGGCCTCTTTGGTACACATAGCGCCTTCTCTGTTCTCTCAATTCCTAAAGCCCTTAATGCTTGTATCATTAATTTTTACCTACCTCTACCATCTTTTATTATCTCTTAATTTCTTCATGTGTTTGTAGGAGCTTCTTAATTAGATCATAAACTCACTGTGGCAAGGGCCTTCTTGTAGACATTCACTCAGAACACTTTGGGTGCATATTAGGTGCTCAGAAAATGGTTTCAATAATTGATTTCCATATTTGTGTGGGTCAAAATAATCTCAAAGAGTTCCCAGAGAAATAGATCTTGGGGTTGACATTGACTGACGCAGGAAAGTAAAGACAGGTAAAGTTCCAGGGACAGAATGCCTGCTGAGGGCAATGATGTAAGATTGTGGCAGGGCTTTTTTTTTTATGCTTTACTTTTCTGGATGTCTAATTTCCCTAGAACATTCTACCAGGTTTTGAAGCCATTTATCACTCTGGTGCTTTGTGAGAAAATCAAATGAAACAAAACCAAAAGAGAAAATATCCATCCAACAGCTGGACAGCTGAGTTATTTTTAGGGACAAGAAAAGAAGCCAGTGTTTGGGATTCAGCAAAACATCCCATCTTGTTTGGAGCTGACCAGCCCTTGGAAATGCACGGTTCTAAGCATTTTCTCAGCTGCAAGTCTCCAGCACACGTGTGTTTGGAGGGAAACTTAACCCATCTGTTTATGATTCATTGATATCGAACTCATCATAAAAGCTGTTGACGTGGCCAAGTTTACCGTGAGTTTTTAGGAAATCCCAACATTGTGTTGAGTTCTTTTTGGTATCTTTTTGGTTTTTGGGTTTTGTCTTCACTGGGAACCCAGGGAGAGTGGAGAATGCTCTGAATGACAAAGCTCTGCTTTTCCTTCAAGGAGTCTCAGTGGCTTCCAGAGTCTGACCATTTTGAAAATGAACCAAGTAAAAGGAACCCCAAGATCTCAGATCTCCTGTCCATGCTCCTAGCAGAGCCCTAGGGATGGCCCAAGATGGGAAGAAAGTACTTCAGACGCAGTTTGGCCAGTAAACTAATTATCAGACAAAGAGAGTTTCGATTTAGACACAGTGACCTTGAGCAAAAGCGGTTCCTTTTTTGTTTTTCAATTCCCCCAAATGTGGTAGGAAAATGATATTGCAATTTTTGATCCATCTCTTAGAGATGGCTTGTGTGGTTGATGTGTGGTTTGTGACTTTAGGAAATAAAATTCTCACAGTAAGAAATTATTGTTTTCCAGATACAAATGGCAGTCTTGGTCCCTTTGGTAGTATGTGCTGTGGGTATCTCGTCTCCAGCACTGAATCATCCATCCTCATTACTCCTTGGTCTCAGTGAGGGGTCTAGCTTGGGTGTGTATCCCAAGTCCTGAGTGATGTTAACTGATGCACAAAGAGAGTGGGATTTTCATAGCTGAGTCCCCCAGGCTCTCCACACATTATATACACCTGGGAGGGCATGAAAGGAGATTTGTATTCCTGCCACACAGGTATAGCTAATACCTCATTGGAGGAAAGAAATATGTGCACTCTCCCTAGAATCAAAACTATAAGAGGAACTTGGGAACTCATGACTTTTCTCTTTATTTTAAATATGGGGAAAGTTGGGCCGCAAGAGGTAAGATAATGTGACTAGCACTGACCGAATGGTGATTTTGTGCCAGTTCAGGGCTGAGTGTGATCATGTTGTTCAGCACTGGAGGGAAGATATTGTTATCCCCATTTTGCAGATGAAGCAACTGCCCTGCAAAAGAGGCTGATAGCTGGCCCAAAGTCACTTGGTGAGCATGTTGTCAACTAGAATTTGAATTCAGCTCTGCTCTACTTCAAAGTTCAATGGACACACAGACCTATCTAGTGAGGGATGAGACCATGAAGTTCTAGACTTCCCAGCCAAAGAATATCTCTCAAGGTAGATATTGGGTTGTACCTCCAATGTGCATATACTCTCCTCTATATACTCCTCCTATATACTCTCCTCTACTTCCCACTGTCTGGTAGATCCATCAACCAGTTTGCTGCTTGGGGGGAGACCATGCTGTTGAGGCAGAGGAGATAATGATGGCTACAACAGGGAGAGGTGAGCGGACCACCTCAGGGCACTGTGCAGGGGTGGGACATGTGAGTGGACTCTGAAGACTCTGACGTGCCCACCATGAAAGAATGAAGGAGCTAAAGCTTAGAAGCCAACAGACAGCAATGGCCAGTGAATTCAAGAAAGGACCACAACAGCATGATATCTGTAAAAGATGCTTGTTACTTTCCATTTATCATTTTTTTGTACTAGAGGGAGGGAGTAGGAGATGTCCTACGAGTAACCAGGCTCTGCCTCTAATCTCTTTGTCCTTTGGGCCATGAGTTGGCCAGTGTTGGAAGAAGTGAGGAGATGGTGCTTATATGCGTACGATGGAATTATAAACAAGGCTCAGCCCACTGGTACCTTTCAATAATTGGAAGTGATCGGATAGCAATGAGATATGCTTGGGTTGTGATTAAGGATGGGAAAGGGGATTTATCAGGGCCTGTTTGAAAACAGGGATGGGGAAAAAGTAGATCATTTCGTGCCTATCCTCAGTGAGATCTGGCTGTTGAATGGGCTGATCATCCTTCTCTCTTTCTATCCATCTGTCATATGGAGGGGATATGAAAATTAAATGTGTGCTTAGACAAAATTCATCTCTTCCTCCTCTTTTCTTGAGCACATTTTGCTGGTGTCTAAACTGGTTTCAGCCAGAAGAAAAATACCAAGTCATTGTCAGGTCAGCTATTCTTCCCAGATGAGCTACTCAGCACCAGAATGGCCAGACGTGGGGGTAGAGAGTAAGAGAAAGAGAAAGAGAGAGAGGGAGACAGAGAGATCACATTCATGAATGCCAGGGAGAGAAAGGGTCAGGGTGTGAGGGACAGTGGGGTGGGAAATGTAGCAAAGGGAAGAGAAGGGAGAAAGAGCAGAAAGAGGGGAAGGCAGTGGGGGAGCAAGGAGGAGGGAAGGAGGAGGGTAGAGTGAAAGGGCGAGAAGGGGTTTGGGGTCAGAGCCAGAGCAGCTTCCTGCCAGGCCTGCTGCCCAGCCGGCTGCAGGAACATCTGCTTCCTGGTGGGGGTGTTTCCAAATGGAGCTGCTTCTTCCCTGACTTCTTCCCCATGCATTTGCGTGCCTGCCCAGTTATGCCCCTCCCAAAGTGCTTGCTTTCCTCTTACTAATCAGCCATTCGTACCCAAACAGCTAAGTCAGCTCTGGACATGGTCAATCCTGGGTTCAGCCAGGGGAAGAAGCATTTGCTGTTGGGCATCACGACTTCATGCTCGGAAGGAGCAGACTGGCTGGGCCAGCGCGCCCTGACCTCTTCTTGAATAACTCTGGAGTTATGAAATGAGTACAAAAGTGGCAGTCAGGGTCTGGGGGACAGAGTCACTGTATGGTCTTGGCCACCTCTGAGTCTTCTCTGAGTGTCAACCCATCACCTGTAGAATAAGGAGCTAAAGCCCCTTCCTGATCACTTGGGATGAAATGCTATTTCGTGCAATCTTATTTTAGTATTCTTGCTTATCTGATTGCTGAGATTGGATACAGAGTGTTCAGATGGAAGATGGAAGCTGATAGCATCTTTCTGCAGCATCTCAGGCCTGTGGTGGGGTATTACCAGAGGGGTCCCTGAATCATGCCCAAACTGGAAGGGTCCCCCAGATGGTTTGGGGTGTCAGAGCCCACCTCCAGCCCTGAGGAGGAGGAGGAGCATGTCCTGCAAGCCCCCCCTGGCTACTGTGGTGTCCTCAGTCTCCTCTGGGGTTCCATCCCCAGGTATCACCCTTGGGCAAGTGTCCCACTGCCTCTCAGCTGACAGATAATTAATCTCTGAGAAGTTGCCACATGATGTGGGTGTTTCTAACTTCTAATTAGATGAAAAGAGGTTCTTATTCAGCTCTTCCTTACAAAGTCTCACTCAGAAGGCCACCCTGCACTTGCCCTAAATGGCTCATCTCTTGGTCCTTCCCTTCCTCCTTCTGCTGCCTTTTTTACCTGACACCCACAGCTCCTGAGGGTGTTGTCCTCAGGGACTAGACTCCTGGACGGCCAGACCAGGCTGGGCCACCACCCACGGCCCTACTTCTGTGGGGATGGAAGGACCATCAGCCCCATGCTAGGATGGGAGGCAGAGCCCAACTGTTAGTGACGTCATCCTAGGAGCCTAGGCAGCTCTTGCAGGAGCCCTCCCTCCCTCAGCCCCCTGTTCCCGCCCACGCTGTCAAGACCCTCCCGGAGGGGCAAGTGACTGGGTGGGGACAGTGTGGCCCCTCCCTCAAGCCTTGCATGTTTATGGGGATCTGACCTAAAGAGATGAAGGGACCCTCCTCCTTCTATGGTAGGCCTCCTTCTATGGCGGCAGCAAGTTAAGGTTCATATGGCCTTTTGAAATTACCCATTGTCAGGTTCCGATTTGGCCTCTCCAAAACCCCTCACTGATCCACAGAGTTTATGTGTCCTCAGGTGAGCAGTGGGATTTGGAGACCTGGGAAGGTGTGTCTCAATGTTGAAGCTCCCCAGGAGATCCTGGAACAGGGATCAAGTTGTGAGATTTGCTATCTCAGGATAATCAGATGCCGCAGATATATTTATATGAGTTCATGGACTATAAATTCCAAAGGCAGGAATGAGGTTCAATTTTTGAAAACCTACTATATGCCATTGGATAATTCACCTGCCCCTCACAGCAATCTTACCAGGTAAGCAACATTACTCCCCTTTCATAGGTGAGGATGCTGGGGCTCAGAAAGATTATGAAAATAGCCTACTGTCACCCAGCACAAATGACAGAGCTGAGACTTTAACCTAGATAAGAAGAACTTGGCGTATTTGGATCTTGGCTGCCTTGGGGGGGGGGAGAGTGAGACTGGAGGGGACACCTGGCCACTGACCTTTCTACTCCCAGGGGGCTCCCCATTCCTTCCAAGTCTAATTCTTATGACTTCTCAAAGCCAGCTCCAGACTCAGTCCCTCTGGGAAGGTCACTTGCTCTTCCTTCTCCCACCCTCTCGTCTCCATGGGCCATCCTGAGTTACTGCAGCACGTGTAGGAAGAACCAAGGGAGTCAGTTCTCCATGTAGGACTCTTTCCTTTCTGGACTGGGGGCTCCTGGCTGGCCCAGATGGGGCCTTTCCCAGTCTCTCTCTCTCTGACACTCTTACCATGGTCCATACCAAGCAAGCAACTGGGTGGCTGGTGTAGCTAAGCCACAAGGACTTTTTCTGGGGGCCGTTTGCCCACCTGAGCTAGCTTTGTCTGGAGTCAGGGAGGGCTTGGCTGGATCCTTACCGAACACAGCAGAGTGCAGAGAAATGGCCCATTACCCACGTGGCCCTCACACTGCCACAGACAGGTGCCACAGCTCCCTCTGTTCAACTACCCCTAAAATTAGGTGACCACTTTGTCCCCTGACTGTCCTCTCCCTGTCCAGACTAGATGCACTGGAGTATGTATTTCACTCCTCTTGCTCCTCTCAAAGAGCTCACTGCGTGGCTGGTGCTCAGTGAACATGTGGTGCCTGAGTGACTAAAAGCCAGGGCATGTCTGATGTGGGGCTGGGAGGTCCCCGTGGCCCAGCTCCTGCCCATGATTAGCCCCTTTCTTCATGCCATCCTAAAATCCTGACGTGGTTAATTAAGATACAAGAAGGAGTCTGGGGAACTGGCATCTTCTGTGCGCAAGCCACACTCCATTTGGTCCTGTCCTCTTTTCTCTGCTCACAGCCCCACAAGCCCAAGCGTCTGTCCAGCCTTTCCAGGTGTTGCCTTTCCACCTCTAAGGAGGAAAATTTAGACGTATGGGTTTTTGGCAAAGGTTTAAAACCAGCAATAAATAACAAAATATTCAACGTACCGTTCTGCATATTTTATAACTCAGTCTAATAAAGAAATAATCCAAGATGGCACCTGCTAAGAAAACTTAGTTTATTGAAATATGACTGTAATATAGAAACGATGGCTAATGCACTAGGCTGCCTGATATTAATGTTCTATACTTCAGCCGGTGTGTTTAAAAGAAGTCTCTCATGTATTTTATTTTATTTTATTAGGAGCCATATCATTAGCTTTTAAAGACATTGTGAGTGAGAGAGAGAGAAGAAAAGAGATTTGGACTATTTAAAAAAAAACAACCCTCAGCAACTCAACCTGCCTTTCTCTGCAAATGAAACAAACCAAAAAAAAAAAAAAAGGTTTTTTTTCATAAACTTTTTTTTTTTCCGGCTGGGATATTAGGACAGTATATTAAATTCCCCCAAAAGGAGGCCCTAGAACTATTTACATAATAATGTCTCCACTGTGGTTGTGACAGATGGGCTTCACTGACGCAGACATACTGTTAGGGGCTTAGCAATAGATTAAAAAAAACCACCACAATACTGTGTAACATAATAAAAGTGTATTGTAATGTACATCATAACTTGTGGCCAAGGTTAAATTTGCAGTCGGAGTATGAAAGTCGTATTCCATTATACAAAATAGATGTTACACGGAAAAGCATTAAAGATGAGTTGACTCAACCATTTATTTTTAGTTTATATTTTATTCTCTTTTCCTTGGCCCTATTTATGCAACATATTTTTAATCATATGAAATAACATCATTCTGTGCCCCTGACCCCCACCTCAGAGTGAGGGGCATCCCGAGATCTTCAGACTTCTGCCGCTTTGTGGATTTATGTTTCAGGGGGCTTGAAGGCGTTGCTCTATTGGAGAATGGCTGTTTGTGTTTCTGTGTTTGCTTCATTCAAAGTTTCCTGCCAGAGCTGAGGCTGGCAGTGGTCTGTGAGGGTGGCCCCTTTTGGTTTATGTAGAGTCTCTGGAGACAAGCTGCAGTCTCAGGGACTTTCCCCACTCCATTAAGAGGTGACAAAGACACGAGAGCAGAGGCTGATGTGAGCAATCCTATGGAAAATGCACTGTGACCAGAAGGTGACCATGTCGTCCTTGTCCAGCTGTGACCCCTGACTTCAGTTCAATGGTCCTAGTGCCCTGAATTCACCCTGAGTCCACCAGCATGCTCGCCAAGTATTAAAGGGGAAATAGTGTCCTCTTTAGGTTAGCGTGCTGAAATAATGTCTACACCCTTAAGGCAAAGATGAATTTGGAGGCATACTTGAGACCCTAGACAGAAGTTGCCTTTTATAAATAGATTTTCTTTCCAGTGCCAGCTTGGGAATTTTGGGTTATACTCTAAGGCAGGTGGCTTTTCCCTGCAAGGACCCAATCAATGAAGGCTCCAGATTCTACTCTAATCAAATGACATTAGCTTTGATTTAAATAATCTTTAATTCTGAGATCTTTTGTTTTGGTCAAAGCCAGCAACCTCTTAAAAGATACTGGAGAGTCTGTAGAGAGCACAGCCTCTCAGTGTTTCATGGCAGCTTGGAGAGTTTAAGGGCACGATTTTAACCTCTCTTGGGGACCAGGAAGACAGAAGCATTAGAGAGACTCTGGGAGCCTGGCTCAGGGAATTCAGTCTAGTCTCATCCAGGGATGCTACATGTCTCTGTGATGGGGCTGACCGTTGACCTGGGGGTGCCCAGAAGCTGGCAGATGGGGAAAGCTTTGGGGTGGAAACAAGCACCATCTTCTAGAAAGACTCTGTCCTGAGTCCATATTGAGGCAGATTATAGGGCTGCAAGCATAATCTGAGCATATGGCTACTTGCATGGAGTTATTACAAGTACAAGAACAGCCTTGTTTTCCATATCAACACTGTCAAAAAGAAATATAATGAGAGCCATGCACATATTATAATTGAAAATGTACTAGAAGCCACATTAAAAAGTAAAAAGCAAATGAAATTAATTTTATTAATATTTTAAATTTTATTTATCTAAAATATTCTAATTTCAGCATACCATCATTATAAAAAATCATTAATGAGACATTTTACACCG